GTTGTAATAAATACCCTTATTATGACAACATTCATAATATTTTTTTATTTTCAATTTTTAATTTTTGCCACCCCCTAGAAATGGTTTCAAACAAGGTGGACTGTCTCCTATCACTGTTTACAAGTGAAACATTTTATAATAGACTTCTGCCTAACTTGATAATTGGATAATTTTAATGAAAGTGTGCCATGAAAGTGTCTCATGCAAAATTTTCATAGCATTCCTTCAAAAGGAATGTAAAGTGATCTTGTAACACTCATGTTTTATTTTAAACAGTCTTAAATGTGTTTCATAGTGTGCTGTGTAGTTTGAATTACATTAGATGCTGAAATACCTTTGAGATTGATTATGAGGTGTTTCTAATAAAATATACCTCTGCTTTGAAAAATAAAAGAAAGTCATGAAAACAAGAATAAATATAAAATATGTCGTTAATGTTAAATTTCCTCCTGGAGATGTTGCACTGAAAAGTATGGATAAAGGTTATCTTATCTCATAAGAATTCATGAATATCAACAAAGCATAGGTTACAAGGGTACAAGGTGGGAATGTATTGTAGAGAAAACAATTGGGGAAAATTAAACACTGTCAAGGATAAATACAATTTCATGAAAAACATAGGTAGGGCCTACATATTTATTCTTTATTGAGATTAAATTATTTGTTATAGTCCTCATAATATTTTTCTTCTTAATTGGATTTTGGAGAACTGTTGAATTAATTATTAAAATAAGATTTACTGCGTAAATCATTATCATAATTGATACTACTACTAATAATATTTTTATGTTAATAACAAATTTTACTGTTATTATGAGTGTTGATTCACACAGAAGCTGGATCTTTCCCATAGATGACGGATATAATCCAGTCAGTGTAGCAAGATATATCCGTGTAGATACCTGGTACTCCTGGTCGTCCACATCCTACCCCCCAGCTGACGACTCCACACAGATAGAAGCGTCCATTTTTATGTTGGCAAGAAAGAGGCCCTCCAGAATCTCCCTGCAATCATTTTAAATTTTAATATGCATGAGGTTAATGTGATATGAAATTTGAGTGTGAAGAAATGTTGTTATTTATATTTACTACAATAGAATAATTGCATATATTTTTTTAAGGAATTGTAATTTGAGTATCTCCATGGATTTCAACTGTTTATGAAATTAAGTTGAACATAATTCATAATTTCAGACGTGTTTATAGTTTTTGTTTCAGAGCTGAAGCAAAAGAAAGGAATGAGATTTCAATATAAAGTGATTGTGCATGCTTGTATATTATTGAATTCATTTCGGAGGGAAAACATTGAGTATTATGTTGCCATGTTCTTTCACTTTCTACAAGAACTTGTGTAACTTAAAAAAAAATAATAATAAAAAAAAATAAAAAAAACACGAATATCCTTGATAAAATTAATACTTCCTAACAAACATTTCCACAATTGAGAACGGGACTGAATGATAACAATCCAACCAAGAGCTCAGAGCAAAGACTTAATTTTGTTAACAAGTTCATTTTGTAAGTTAAAAATGTCTTGTGCAAGCAGATTACATTTCTTGCCCCCATGGGACTAATTCAATTATTTCAAATACCTAATTAGCAATGCTGATTGCAGATCATGCCTATACAAAAAAATGTGAAAACATGTGAATACAGAACATCCCAATTAATATAATGGTGTAGTTATCTTTCCTCTAATATTTGAGGGCAATGACACCTATTAAAAACGACGTACACTATGTGACATGTCCAAAATGGTGATATGGTGTGGTCTTGTTTTTCATGGAGGGAGTTTGCACCCCTTGTTGTTTTGTGTAACACTATCACATCACATTCCTACGTTGATGTTTTAAATACCTTCTTGCTTCCCACTGTTGAAGAGCAATTCGGTGATGGCGATTGCATCTTCCAACACGATCGAGCACCTGTTCATACTGCACGGCCTTTGGCGGAGCGGTTACATGACAATAACAACCCTGTAATGGACTGGCCTGCACAGAGTCCTGACTTGAATCCTATCGAACACGTTTCGGAAGTTTTGGAACGCTGACTTCGTGCCAGGCTTCACCAATCTACATCGATACCTCTCCTCAGTGAAGCACTTCGTGAAGAATGAGCTGCCTTTTCCCCAATGAAACCTTCCAGCACCTGATTGAAAATATGCCTGCGAAAGTGGAAGCTGACATGGTGAGCCATTTTCAACCACGTGTCCGAGTACTTTCGATCACATAGTATATTTTTCTTTCACATTTTCTCAATTTTTGGTCCCTTAAAGTTTAATGGAACTTTGAAAATATCACAGTGGAGCAAAAACACTTTTTCACT